CCCGCCCCGCCCCGCCCCGCCGCGGCCTTGCAGGGGAGGCACTAGCGGGATCAGGCTCGGGCGTGTATTGACTGTGCGCCGACGTGCAGTGACTGTGAAGTCTAGGCGCCCTCGTCCTGTGCAGACGGTGATGCTAGTGTAGACCTGTGTTCCTTGCCTGTGCTGAGCTGTGTGTGGAAGAGAGGCTGGGAGACGTCAGCTCGGCAGCCATGCTGTCTTCAGCCTCCCGGAAGTGATGCTAACTTTCTGAGTTGTGTGTCCGAGTGTTTTTGTTACTACTGCTGTTCTTCGAAATGTGCTGCCAGTGACCTTGCCTCGTGTGTGAGACACCCCGTAAATGGTTAGGCACGGAGAGGGCTTGCACGCGTTCGGGGCGGAGCTGGCTGGAGCGTGTGCGGCACGGGCCATTGTTACCCGCTGCCCGGGCAGCTGTGGGCACAGCGTTCTCCACCCATTGCTCTACTGGGGCTCCGTGGCGGAGTAAAGGACGGGCCAAGGGGTTCCCACCTCAGGAGCAGACGCTCTGCTCCCGGTGCTGATGGCACGGGGCCTGACGTTCGGGCGGCACAGACCCTGCACCAGGCGGTTCCACGGATGGCGACTCTTTGCATTTGGCTTTGACATTGAGTCCCTGTGGCGCGTGTGCAGTGGAGAGATCGCCTACTTTCATTTGATGCCTTTAAGAGCCCTGTGACGGGGCAGGGCTGTTTCAGAGGCGGAGACCTGCAAAGGGGGGAGGGTTCGTGTGGTATGTCCAGGGTCGTGGGGATTTTAGTTTGCTTGCTCGTTTTCTAATCCCAGTGCCTGCACCTAAAAAACCCCAAGCCCCTGTGTTTGGAGTTGTTTACGCCGAGGCCCCCAGGGCTCCACGTCGGCGCTGGCCTTGGTGGACCTTGTCCCAGGCCCTGCTTTGCGCCATCACACCTGCAAGGGCCACAGTCCCTCTAGAGTGGCCATGGGTGCCTTGGCCCTGGTCCCTGCAGGCACTTCGTCCTCAGGTGTCCCATGGGAGCTGGGAGCCCCCACTAAGCACTTTCCTCCCAGCAGGCTCCGTGACCAGTCCCTGATTGCCACCCCCCACCGGGCTGCTGCACCCACCACGGGCACAGCCCATGAGGGGTTTGGATGAACCTAGGAAGGAAAGCCGCTGCCACTGCCGTGTGGACTGGGCACAGAAGGCCTTGGTCCAGTGGCAGCCTCAGTCCTGAGAAGAGAGGGGGAGGTTCCCACGAGATCTCCACTCCATCTTCAGAGCAGTTTAGCAGCAGACCCTCTGCGGTAGCCAGAATCCACATAGAATTCTGCGAGCAAAGACCCTATGGGAAAGACAGAGAGTGTGGACCCCCCTCCCCCCGGGGCGAGGTGGACTGGGGAGAAGGCGGCAGTGTGCAGTGTAGAGAGAGGCAACTGGAGTATCAGGTTAATTTGCGTTTTTCTTTTCTTTTCTTTTTTTTAGATTTAAGAAAAATTTAGTTGTATTTATAAAACTCAGAATCTGGAGAAGTTATGTTTTTCATTCATAGTGCACTTTCAGAGCTTGGTGCAGAAGCAGGGCCTGCCATCAGTTTCTCAGTGTGCTGGGACCTGGGAGTGGCCTCAGCCCCAAGGAGGCACCGTCTCGCCCCCTCCCTTGGTTGGTCTCACCCCTTCCCTTGATTGGTGCTGACACTTGGTATTAGAATATCTTGATTTCCGACCCTCAGCAGCCCTTAAATTGCGCACCTGGGATGAGCGTCTCCCCTTCACCCCAGTCCTCTTTTTTGGCAGCTGAACTATTTTGAAGGTGGAATCATCAAACACAGTCTGAAATTTATAGAGGGTGTCACTGGGTCGCACAGCCTGTTAGGGTGGTGCGTGTGAGAGCCCCGCCCTCACCCTGCAGACTGTCACTCGGCCCGCCTGAGTTCTCTTTTGGGAGGCCCGGCCTCAGGTGAGGATCAGTTTGTAATGAGCTAGTGTGGAGCGCGCGGAGGCTTCAGTAGCAGAGGCACCCGGGGCAGGTCTGAAGAAGGGCCCTCAGTGCAGGGCGTCTGAAGGGAGACAGGTGCCCTCTTCTGTTTGAATCTCACAGGAAGAAAGAAATGTAGTGGGTTGGAGTCACACTTGCGTGCCATCACACAAGGCAGCCATGCTCCCAGCCTGAACTGAAAGTGGCAGAGCGGGGACGGGAGGAAGGACGGGATGAGGGGTGCCACATCAGGGCAGCCCGGGCGTTGCCTGTGGCTGTTCACGGCAGGGCTCCCAGTGGCATGCAGAGCAGAATCAGCTACTTCCAGTGTCTTAACTTTGGTTGAGAATGTGCTGTAAAGATGCCATGGTAATCTTTGTACTTAAATATACGTGAGCAGCTTTCCCCATCAGAGCAGACCTTAGTTTTCATGCCAGATGGGGAAACCACGGCCGTTGGGAGTTGTGTG